AGCCTCAGCGCTCGAGGCGGTGACGTCAGCTGATCCGTAGAGCAAAGCTCATCACCAAATTCCTGGCGCAGGCACTCCAAACACAGGTAGCACAGTAGCATCATCACAAAATATGGCATCCCAACTTACCAAGTGCGAAAAAAAATATAACTGCCTCTTGAGTGTCACTCACCCAAGAAAGTGTGGCTTTTGTTGGTGAAACTAGCCACACCAAGGATGGCTGCATCCTCTCAATCAACAATGGCCGCACTCTTTTTTTGCAGGCCTGTGGTTGATTTCAGCCATGGGGCCCCTAGTTAGCCTTCGAGAGACCCTCATTATGTTGCGGCAACACCTAAGGACGTTGGTCCCAAACATGCGGACGTAGCTCAAATAGGTCGGCACCCATATCTGAAACTTTGGACGACTTAGTCATGCATCCTTTGTTATCTGTCAGTCTAGCATGTCACAAGGGCATCTGGGACTTCATGATATCAAGGCATCGTGTCTCGACAGCTGGCCGGTTGGAAAGCACACAATTAAAACCAAGCCCGCCTCCAAGCTTGTTCTGAGCTTCTTGGTTCATTCGTCCAGTGGTCAGGAGCCAGTTCTGTGCCTCCAAGTAGTTGGTCGGCGCAATGCCTCACGCCCGAAATTGCACAGCTTGCGGTCACACTCCAAACGAGAGGAGGGAGGGAGAGGGAGAGAGAGAGAGGGAGAGGGAGAGGGCGAGGGGGAGGAATGAGGGCCTGGGTCTTAAGCCAAGATGCGAATAGCCTGATTCCAATATTCAGAGGCCTTGTCCTCAGCTTGTGATCAAGCAAGCTAACCTAAAAGCAGGTTTCAAGGACATCAGGACTTTGAAGTCAGTCTGAGGGTCTCTTGCAACCTTGCCCAAACACACAAATAGATACAAATAGCACAACTGCTTGTGCTCACAAATCACGAAGCTTTAAGCGTGAAAGTGTCGTATAGGACCGTGGACTTGTCCAGCGCACCCTTCTTCTCGGCTCGCATGGCCTGGTCGTGATAAATCACCTAAGTGCAAGTGGGAGCAAACTTCCTCTAGACTCTAGACTCCAATTCCTTCCATTCACTTCCTAAGTCAGGGAAGGCATGCTCCCAAATCACCCAAACAACTTCTCGATCATATACACTCTCAAATATTTCAATCCTTGTCTGCTCACTCTGCCGCCAGGCCACTGCGATGTTGTTGTAAGCCTGTCCGGACACACCAAAAACTGCCCTCTCCGAGCACGAAAGCACGTTAAAACGGTCGGCAGGCCCTGCTAACCCAGCCTGGCAAAGCTCCTTGTTCTGATCCAAGGCCAAATGATAATACTTCACAGCCTCTTACGTACTGGCAACACAGCACATGTCCACCCCTAAAGGAGGGTACCTCCAAGAAAAATATCCCACCACTAGCGCCTTGACATACTCTCCGTTGGAACCAAAAATGATGCCAAGGTTGTAGAAGATGTAGCTTCGGTCAATCCTTAGCAATTTGGCGCCAACTCTCATGCTCAGTGATCAGCATTTCGTGAAAACTCGCATCATCTGATTTGGTCAAGTCGAGGAGCGGGTCCTCCTCCAACTTCAAAGATTCAGCATAGGCGCGCAGGGCGGCAGAGTAGTCGCCGGCCACCTGTGCCTGCATTCCGTCACCTGCCCAGTTGGTCGTCAATGGGCTGTGGAAAGTCCGACCTCTTTAAGTATCGATAAAATATGTATTTTTGGTATATACGATAGTCTATTTTTGAGTCTGGTCACGATAGAACTGGTAGGCATCCTTTTCCTGCTGAGCCAATGGTATGGCAGCCACCACCATGTCTGTCCTGAAATGAATGCAAACCGCCAATAACGAATGGGATCAAAGCAACTCACTACCTTGCAATCAACTGCATCAAGAAAGCTTGAGCCATTCTTTTGCCAAGGCTCATAACTGTGAATGCTTTGTCAATGAAGTTGTCACCTCAGAGTTAGTCAGTCCAGTAGATCATAAGTGCTCCAGTGCTCAACTAACCTTGTGCATCCAAGGATCTCTTGTCATTATTTCGCGTGGCCTGCATCTGCCTCAGCATCCATGCTCCCCGGAGCAAATCCCCTTGCATGTGGCTCAAACTGGTCATGCAGCTGGCTCAGCTGGGCAGGTTTTGTGAAGATTTTATTTGCATTTGACTTGTGTTCGGCTCCTGTGGCCCAGCTCCAATTGCTACCCTGCCGGCCCTGCCCTCTGGTCTGCACCCCCATGATTGCAGCGGTTCCTTGGGTGCTCCAAACGAGGTACATTCGCGACTTTGATGTCCTTCTCCCACCCATCGCTACGAAGCTGATGGCTGCTGAGAGGCTCGAGACACCTTGGCAGGTGCATCAGAACATTAGAAAGCCAACTGCGACTGGTTAATCTCAAGGCGAATATGCTAAATCAGTGGGATGAAGATCAACACTAGCTCGTGAAGAATCCGAGCGAGCACGGACTTGCTGATTCTGCGCCACTGACAAGCTAAAGAGCACCATGTTGAAGCAATCAATTTGCCTATCTTCACGCTCCACAGATCTTCAGCCAAGCAGCCCAGCGCAACAATGGCCAAAGCCACCACACGCCGGAGCGACAGAGTCATGACCCTGGGCAAAAGTGAAAAGAAGCACATTGCCCTGATTGCCAAGCTACTACTAGTAAGGCACCTTGCTAGTAGCTTCCTACTAGTTACTTGTAGTAATGCCCTTGTTACTAGCAGCAAGAAGCTACTACCTATGTGGGGCTGGTGCAGCCCAAGACGTGACCGTAGCAAGGTCGAAAACAAAAGCAGCCTCGGTTGGAGCATATAGTGAAGTCCGGTCCAATGAACACATGTATGCAAATAATGATTTATATAATAGTCTTTTGTAAAAATGATCAGAAATGACCTAAGGTGTCCCACAACATCAATCAAAAAGCTGAGATCTGGAAAAAAGTTGTCTCGTCAGGACGTGTCTCACCTGCCAGCATATAAATAACCGGAACCGGGGCAGCTATGGTGGGTGTGAGGGGTAACAACCTCACCGAATTTCAACAGCCCAGGGGGATCAATCATTGTGAGGTGATGTCGTGGCGTGATGTTGAAGGCCTGGAGTGAGGTCGGGTCAAAAGGGAAGGCGTCCTAGCAAAGGCCTTCAAAGCCTGAACCGAAATGTCGCGGAGGTCGAGCAAGAAGCCGCGCGCCAAGGTGTCGCATGATCACCCAACAAATCCTGTGGCATTTCAAGACATGTGTTCGCACTTCCCAGACCCAGCTATATATTGTGTTCCCAGTGCACGGCCATCCCTATTGCAAACAAGCGATGTGGAAACTTACAGCCGCGCGGCCCGCCTTCTGATACTCCTCGATGATCTTCAAGGCTCGCCTGCAGGTAGTGCACGCTATAGCTGGAAAGCAACAGGATTCCCCTCATCTTGGTAGCACAGTCGTCCATTCTATTCAGGATGTCAAGTAAACGGTGATGGATCTTCTTCAGAAGGCACGTTCTGTTTCATTCCAACCGGTCAGTGGAAACCACTCAGATCCGTTCATGTTGGTGGGGGGTGACTTATGGTCCAGTTTTCACCCAGATCCATCTTTTTCAGAAGTGCTCAAAAACCTTGGGCGACGACCGACCACGACGCCCATCGCATGTTGCACCTCTGCAGCTCTTGGAGTTCCTGCTTCTGCTTCTGGTCCGCTTCTGCCCGCTGTCCTTTGGCTGCCTGACCTTGGGTCGAAGCTACGTCAGCTGTCGAAGCTACATCATCCTGCTTAATAGACCCGAGAGTCTCAGAAACAAATTTGGTGATTGACACTGCATCGTAGTGAGAACTATGCCAATCCTAAGGTCCTAAGGTATCCTAAGGTCAAGATAATCGCAGGGGGGTTCAGAGCTTGCTTTGACCCAGTCAGTTTTGTGAGCCGAGTTGCTGATCTTGGCAGCGCTGGCGTCCATCTGCTTCAACTTCTGCTCTGAGGGCTTCAGTTGGCCGTTGAGCCAGTGGATGACTTCCTTCTCCGATTCCTGGCCCCCCGCGAACCAATCCAGGGCCGACCTGGGGTTGCCTACTTGGAGAAAAGACTCGCCGCGCGTTCTCAAGATTGATAACGTCATGCTCAGCACTCAGTCCAAACATGCCCAAAGCATCAAGCTGGGCCTTCAAGGACTTGATACTCTTCAGCAATTCCGCGATCTTCTCTCTGTATTCAGCCGCCTGGCTCATGAGCTCATCCAGCTTAGTGATCCTTGGACGCCAACTAACACCGTCAAAACCATGTGGAGTGGATTCGAGGGGTTCTGGTGTCTTGCCGTTCCTGCTACAAGAAGTCGCTCATTCAGTCCATTCCATCAAGCTTAAGATTTCATGGCCTCTGCTTCTGGTGCAAGTTAGGACATGGCCAGGCCATGCTCACCACGCAGAACCCAATCAATCCTCCACCCGCAATCTAATCTAACCGAATCTCCCCATCCGTATGAATGCATATACAAAATATCTATCTATGTATCTATCTATCTATCAAACGATCTATCTATCGGTCGATCTATCTATCTATCTATCGATCGATCGATCGATCGATGTATCTATCGATCGATCGATCAATCTATCTATCGATCTATCTATCGTTCGATCCATCTATCTATCGATCGATCTATCTATCGATCTATCTATCTATCGATTGATCCATCTATCTATCGATCTATCTATCGATCGATCTATCTAGTCTATCGATCGATCGATCGATCTATCGATCGATCGATCTATCTATATAATCTACCTATCGCCGACAAAGTTGAAGTATCCCAGACCTTGCAAACCAACCACTCCCTCCCTTTCATCGAGGGTGCAGCTCGGCTGACTTCATCGTGGGCGTTTTCAGCTTCTCGGCATCTTCCTGGCCCAAGAGAGAAAATCAGCAATGATCTGCTTGTTACACTGTCTTCGCGGGAGGTCCTACTATGATTGCCTGAGGTATGGGAGTCATTCTGGGCTCAAGCGCGCGTTCTTTGCGGCTGCTTTTTCAGGTTCGCTGCCGCTTGCGATCAGGCATGTCTGCACCGGAGCCATCCTCCTAGCAGGGTTGTGGCAACTTCCAACTCATTCTTGGAGGCGGCCAACACAAAACAGTTGTTGGTGGTTCATTGTCCTCCCCTTCATGCTACCCCACCCCAGTTGTAAAACAAAAATATCTTGAAAAAAAGAACTTCCCGAGCTCGAGGAGCAAAGGAACTCAACCTGCAAAGACCTGGAAGACAGTCCTCATCTGGTACTCGTGGCACCTCTGAGAAAGGTGCCTTGGTGTTAACCTCGCGGATAAAATACGGGCAGGGAGGCCTCAGAGATCCAAAAAGTGGCTGATGAGCCTTTGTGATCTTGTGTTTGGCCCCGTGGTGTTGCACGCACAGCCAACACCATCATGCAACAGGGTCGCTGCAATACATAGATTCGACTTATCTACCACCATTTAAAGCGGGCTAATCCGGAAACATTCATAGTTTTCTGACTTAACCAGCTCAAAAAGACTTGGCCAAGAATCACATAAAACTCCGGGTCTGACTTGTTCGCAGGTTGTGCACTTTGGCACTGCCGCAGTGACTCGAAGCGCCGCACAGCCTGCAGCGGTCGCAAGAATTGCATAATAGATCTCATTGACATGGCCCAATGCATCAAACTTCTCAAAAGTGCTCTAACCTAGCGACCTAGCACACTAGGCCCATTCCACACCAAATGTTGTTCCTTCCAGTTCAACCCCAAGCCCGCCAAGACACGTAGCGTGGCACCTCAGCAAGGCGTAAAACGTCGCCATCGCGGAGTTCCAGTAGTTGGCCTTTTGGAATGCGCTGCTCGTTCACCCAGGTGCCGTTTTTGGATAGATCGCACACAAAGAGCCGGGCTTGGCGCGCGGAGCCTTTCACCGGCGCCAAGAGCGTGAGCTCCGCATGGATGTTGGAGACGCCGGCGGTTTCATCGGACATGAAGAGATGACATTTGCGAGTCTTGCCGATCTTCACCTCTTGCGGGCCCCAAGGTGCCATTCGGAAGACTTCATTCGACGTCACGATGGCCCCTCCCAAGGGATACAGCTCGAAGATGGGCCCCTCGGTTTCTGTACCTTGGGGCAAGGGTATTGCCTTACCCGTCCATTGAAGTGTCATGGAGGACAGTACACCCCGCGTCGCTTTGGACAGCAGGCTAGCATAGGTTCCATAGGTGGCGCGCAGCACTGACAAGTCTTTAGCTTTGGAGTTTTGGGAATCGGCGGTCGTCATTGGATTGTACAAGCATCTCCCCGACAACGCCTTGTAGGCAGTATACGGCCCGCGGTTGGACGAATAATGAACCACTAGGTTGACAGTCTCAGCACGTGCGGCTACCACTATGTATGCCTCCAGCACGGTTCCGAAGAGAGAGGCAAAGTTGTACCAATGAGAACCCTCTTGACATCTGGCAGCCTTTCCTACAGGACCCACATCTTTCAGGGCCCAACGAGCTGGAAACTCAATGCTCATTCCATCGATCGCCAGCCCATCTGGGTTCCAGCAAGCCTTGAGTCTCGGAGTCATATGACTTGACCCAGTATCAATAGTATCTCTCCAGGTGGCCGTCGCCTTTCCAAAGGTCATCGGCTTCCACGCCTTGCGGACTTCGATGCAGTCCTCCGCCCGGGCCAACAAACAAACAAAGATCCGGTCCAACTCACCGACCTGGTCGTCCACGATCGCCACCACGGCCTCCTCGCCCAAGGCCTCGCACAAACGCTCCTTGATCGCCTGCGCACGTACGACGTACGAAAACCTCGGACACCCGATGTCAAGGGGGGGACTAGGGCCATCGAACGAGCTTCAAAACGCGATCCGGTACCCGAAGATCTCCTTCATCAACTTGGCAAGCTGCATGTCTTCCATCCTCACGCGCATGTCTGCCCACATGATGGCCACAACCCCGACGGACTTCTCTTTCCATGTGCCCCAGCGGCGATTGAAGTGGAGCTTGTAATGGGAGACAGCCGGTTCACCAAATAATTCTCCACAAGCAAAGCCCTCACCTCAAGGAAGCAAACATATGGTTTTGCACTTTGTCTCGCTAACCGCAACAATGCTTTCCAAAACTTTTCCGGAAAGGCCGAACGATCGATCATTGTAGCACCTGACGAGCCTGACGGAGTATTAACACGGGAAACATCAGGAAACGCAACACAGCAGTTTTTGTTGCACCTGGTGGGTTGTTGCCTTTGGGCACTGCTGCAGCCTTGGCTGTGGCGCATTGCACCGCTAAGGGGGTGGGGAGGGAAGGTGGGGCAGCTTTCGGCTTCTGCGACGAAATCGGTGTTGGCGGCACCGCGACCAAAGAGAGCTCTTGTCTCTGAATAGCTTTCGTCTGAACCGCCATATTCACTCATGGTCGATAGCACGTGCATGTTTCGAGCCAATAAGGCGGAAGCCTGTTTCTTTGCAAGTGTCACACTCAAACCCCCAAATGTAGCTTTCGTCCCCCTTAAAACTCTGCAGTACGTTGCTGCCGTCGCAGAGAAGCCGCATTGGGCTTGAGCGATATCCTAAAGCATTATAAAGTTGTGTTGGTATGCCTGCGACCTGCGAACCTCGCGTTTGGGTTTTGAGGCTCTTTTGTTGGAGGCTTTGCATTGCAGCATGGAGGTCCTCCAGAATCACAGAGCTTCGACACCGCACCTTGAGTTTGGAGCATGACTCTTCAATCTTGGCAAGAGGTGGGGCGACTTCCTCCTCGCCAGTGCAAGATGCAAGAATCAAAGCAAGCGGCAAAAGGCCACATACTAGTGCAGCATCGTGATTCAAAGTACACCGTCCTCAATCTGACCTTTGAGCTTTTCCTGTCAGGCATGGACAAAGAAGTGTCTTTGCGTACATGCACCTGGTTCTATCAGGGCTCTTTGTGATAGGATTTCCCCAAGCGGTGCGTAACTCATCACCAGCTGCCTTCATCACTTCCAACTCCTTCTCCCGCTCTTCTCGTCTCTTCTTTCGCTCCAAGTCTATCTGGTACTCCCTCACAATGCCGATTTGAACCTTGCGCAGGTAGTCTTCAGATTCAGATGAACTGCGCTTGGTCAAGTTAGTGGCAGATGAATTCAGAAGTCGCAAGAGACTGCCCATTCCCGACTCCAAAGTCAAAGCCTTCGCACGCTGAAAGTTGTCCTTGCTGATGCCTTTGGTGCCTGGTGTCACCAGCAGCCTGGCTTGAGACGCGAAAATCCGCAAGAACAACATGAAATGCCACCCTGCTGCAAGCCCATAAATGATTTCTTATGCTTCTCCAAAGTCAAGTGCTGTTTCAACAAACGAGCCAAGACTGATGACTGCTGCAGAAATGTGCATCGTACGTCAGGCAGTCAGCATGACAGTGCTGGGAAGCTGGCTTGAAGATCTTCTTTACCTTGTATGTTCGACTTTCGTCTGAACACCGTCAGAAATCCATCAAAACACATGTAGCTCACAGGTTTTGCCGGCTTGGTGTGCCACTGCAGGTTCTGGCAGGGTGAACTTGAACTCGCTCAAGGCATACCTTGGCGCGTTTCCCTTGGGAACAGCCAACCAGGCTCCCCAGCCCGATCGGAGAGGCAGGACGTGGACGAATGCAACCAGGTCACTTTTTCAAATCCTTCTCATCCAGCAATCCATCCTGCAATATCTCTGGCTTGCTGTGTTTGTCTTTAGCCCGTCATGGATCTGCCTCCTTACTTAATTAAGTAGGCTCCTACTTAGTACTAGCTACTTACCCTTACTAGTATGGACGCAGGATAGCTCACGCACTAATGTTTTGGTTCTTAGATTGGTAGGGAAGCTTAATGAGACTAGGATGATATTCATATATAATTCGTTGGACCGTTTCAGGTGTCAGCTCTCTTTTTGGCCGCAAGGTCTCACCAAAATGCGATGCTACGGGCGTGACTTCAGGTGATGAAACTGGCTCAAAGGCAGTACGTCCAGCCTGGCCAAAATCACAGAAGCGTGGCCAGCATGAATTCTGAACCCTTCTTGCGCTTCGAACCCCGCATATGTTAAAGCAATGTTGATAGTTCCGCGTGCTTGCTCTTTTACTCTGTGCGGTTTATAATCCCGAGCACCCATTTAAAGACACTCCCCTATTTACACAAAGAAAAAGCAAAAACACCATGTCGGAAACCCCTAAATACGGATTATATTTGTGTTTTAATAGCCGCCCGTAAAAAGCGCTACTAAAAAACCAAAATGGCCGATGTTTGTGTACTTTTTTTTGGGTACCTCTGTCCACCCTCTCTATCCACCATGACACGCCACGTTTACACCAGCAAGAGTTCCTTTTGGGCACGGACTCACCTTTCGAGCTTTAGTTGTCAGTCTAATGAAGCAGCACTATGTTCATAAACTTGTTTTTCAGTTTTTGATACGAGAGTAATAAAGGATTTTATAACTTAAAAGCTGAGTTACTGTGTGGTTAATCAATGATTCCCACTGACCCTATTTTGGACTATATATTTTGGACAACCCCGACTTCAGGATCCCCTATTTAAAAATAGACAAGCACACAATTTTTGTTAATAGGGGGGCGTGTCTTTTAATCGGTGGAAGGGATTATTCAAGTGCAAATTGTAGGCACATCTGGATTGGCGAAATGCTCTTGGCATCTCTCTTGGCCTAAGGCGCCAAGCTCTCCAGGCTCCGGATTAAAAACATATGTGTATAAGAGTGTATAAGCATAAAGAGTTGAAGACCGCCACGCCTACCTGATCCGCTCAAAGGGTGTCAGCCAAGATTCCAGTATGACTCAGTATGACACTGTTCTTGACACTACCTTCACTTTCCAGATATTTGCTGTTAGAACAGCTGCTACGCATTCTCATCATTCTCTGCCTGAGTCCATTGAGTCCATGTCACATGTCTCTTCTTCCATCTGTTCTCCCAGCAATCTCCCGCCTCAGGCAGCCGTGGCAGCCGAGCGGTCTGCCTGCTGCCGGAAGGCTGCAATCATCTCCCGAAGCTCCTGCCCCAAGCGCAGCTGCCACGGACCAAGGTTTAGAGATTCTTGATCTGTAGGTTTTCCAGTTGCGTTCTCACAGTCGGAGGTCTGTGGGGTGCTCCATGTTCTAAGAAGTAATAAGTCAGGTTGCAGAACCCGGGCATGTTTAAAGAACAAATCAAAGGAGCACAAGGCCACAAGGCCCTAAATATCTGCCCACACCCTGGAGAAGACAAACCTTGGGTCAGTTCATGTTATGTTGTTGTGTGCTTTCGGCTAGCGTGTGTCACAAAGCCCATGTGTGTGTGTGTGGGCGCGCAGTTTTTTGGGCCAAGAGCATGGTTGGTTTATGGGTTGGCTTGCCCCGCGGCTGCACGCGTTCCTTGCTTTGTGTGGTCGACGTTGTGATGGAAGGTTCTTTGAGGCCTTCACAGGTAGTTTGCTGACGTTCGTTGTGGCTGCTACGAAGCACAAGGCAGCACAGCACTGCAAGATGGAAACCAGCCAAAGGCCAAAGCCTTTTAAAGATAGACACCCACCAGCTGGATTACTTGTGGGGTCAAGCCTTGCACTGAAGGATGCCCCCAAAGACGTTAATCACCGTTAATCCATGTGAGTCCCTGCTTCCTTCAGTACAGGTTCAACAGAAATGATCAGTGGCAGTCCCTGGCCAACTCCCTCGTTACGAAAGCTCAGAAAGAATGACATGTCAAAGAGCCGAGCTGTGCAGAGACACTCTCCTTTAAGTGCTTACAGTGAAAGTCTCCAAAGCATGGAAAGAACTAGAACAAATATATATATATATATTAAACTAAAGAGACAGATCCGGCCAAGCATGCCGACAGAAACCCGATTTGTACTTCAAAAAGCGCCAAAGGCCAAACACGTAGAAAAGAAACACATGAAAAGGGGAACAACACTGAGTTTAACCATTTCCGTCATGTGTGCAAATGCGCACAAGCAGCGTGGTATTTGTTGTGGGCTTGCCATCACGCTAGCCAAAACATCACATCCGCCAAAATGTCGCTAGTAGGTTGGAGGCCATCACCTTCTCTGCGTCGTCTTTGCGCTTCTCCAGCTCTTGGCTGGCTTTCTGCATCTTTGGCAGCTCCTGGCCCACAAATCGAACCAGCTATGCCTGTCCCAGCTATGCCTGCCCGGACTAATGCTTGCAGGGCTGGGCTTGCCACAATGAGAGGTACCACACATAAACTCGCTCGCTTGCACCACTGTGTGAAGGTGCATATTTTAGAGTCATAGAGGGATGGAGAGAGGGAGCGAAGGCTTGTTCCACGAGGTGCCCTCTCCTCATCGATGTTGTTCATTGTGCCTTTCATCTCATCCTCAGCCAGAAAGCCCAACTCAAGAGCTTGCTTGTCCAATGAATCTCTACCAACAAATGAGCCATATCTGATTGTGTCGGAAGTTTGTGACCTTCTGCCCAGTGTCCAGCATCTCCTGCCGCTCCCCCAACAGAAAGCAGCGGCCAATGCCTCTGTAGAGTTTGGCATCTTCTGGAGTGGACTCGATTGTCCTGACAAACACAGCAGAGTAGAGACTTGGCCAGGGACTCTCAAAGACTCAAAGACCACTGGAAGCATGTAAGTGTCCCCACAGTTGCCTGCTTGCCTTGTCTGTTTCATCCAAGCGGCTGCTGAGTCAGCTCTAAACGCACTCGCTGCTGTTGTTTGCTGCTCAGCGTCGACTGCCACAAGGGTTGTGTGCATCAAGAAGCATGCTTTCCTGCTGTTGTGATTACGACTTCGAACCATCCTGCCTTCAATCTGGAGAGTTGCTCATTCAGTCCGGTTACCTGGGCGCATGACTTGCTTTGGCTGGGGTACATTTCCTTCTGATAGGGACCCTCAGACTGCCCCATGCTTTGGTACGAGCACTTCGAACACCACTCAGCCCCATGGAGAAGCAGACAAAAGAAGAAGCATAAACAACAAGCAGCAAACAAGAACAAAAGGCGGAAGCAGGAATAAAAGAAAGAACAAGAAGCAGAAAGACAAAAGACAAAAAGAAGAAGCAGGAAGAAGAATATGAAGAAGAAGAAGAAGAAGAAGAAAAATGATGATGATGATGATGATGATGATGATGCAAAAAAATGCAAAAAAGACGAAAGCAATAGCAGAAAGAAGAAACAAAAGAAGAAACTGGCCGCAGGCTGGCAAAGTTTCCTGACGCAAACTTGACGCAAATGGCCTACTTGAACCCTCCTTCACGCAGTGTTTGTCAACACTTTCCTTCAGATGTCTGTAGACACTAGCCATCATTCAAAACGGAATGTCCCAGCAACGTTGGACAACAATGGCATCGACGTTTGGGTCGTCTCGTCGCTTCACCGCCGCCGCATGCCGCATGCCTTGTCTTGCACCGCCATGGCCTCATCGGCGTTGAAGTCTCTGTTGGCTGCAGCCTCTTGTGCCCTCCGCCTGCCCGGTGCAGGTCGCCCAATGATGATGAGGAAGTGGAGGTGCGTGGGCCCCCGAAAAGAACTGCCGGGGCTTAATCTTTAGCGTCAGGATGCGTAAGGTATTCAGAATGACCTCAATGCTCAATCCATCTTTATCGGATCATGTCTTTGTCGGATCATCTTGGGCTTACTGCGCAAAATGTTGTGTGCCTTGTGAGTGACGGCCAACGTTAGCCTCGTGGACGGCTGTGTCAGTTCCCTCCCACCGGGCTCGTTGGCCTACTCGCCTCTGCTGCTGACCTGCCAACTTCTCAGCACAAGCTGCTCGTAGCTTCTGCAAATCAGCATCGCCGGGCCTGGGCAAGTGAGATTGTTCTCCAAGCTGTAGCTAAAGCCTTTGCCAAAGGCTCTCACCATCCCCGCCCCCAGCCAACCGTTCGAACAATCACTACGACGCTCCCATGAGCTCCCCCTGAGCTTCTTGAGCTCCCGAGCGCTTGTTCTAAGCCAGCTTCGCAGAAGTCGATGCCATTCCGGCAAAGGTCCAACTGCAGCGAGGCCCTGGCTGCCCGCCAGTACGCCTCGCAGGCTGTGACTGTGCCACTCTATGGCCCTTTGTGGCGGTTGATTAAGTGAAGCCTCCCAGGATTGGGCAGGCTTTACACTCCAAATGGGGAGGTTGTCATTCATCAACTAATCATATTGACATTCTAAATTCTAATGTCTAAGATCTGAGATCGAAAAATGCCGGTCTTCTCGTTAAGCTTGGAATGGCCCGAACATGAAAGGCCCCTGTGAGCACGTAGTCTTCACTGAGGGTTTGGATGACCACCCAACAGGTTCGGTTTAGTTTCCATTCCGCATCGATGGCTGGGATCGAATCTTGAACCTGTGTGAAAGGCACAAGCTTCATACATCGTACGTAGTTCGCAGCAGTGGAGAAAATGCTTCGTGAATTCACAACTTGTCACTGAAACTGGCAGTTTTCAGATGCCTTGATGTTCTTTGGATCTCTTTCAATGGCCTTGCGGCAGTCGTCCACCTCAAGCAGCTTGGAGATATTGGTTTAAAGCTTCTCTGGGGCACTGCTAGGGCCAGAATCCATGAGGGGCCGGTCTGTCACATCTCTACCACATCTCTGCCAACACATGGTCAAGTCCAAGTGCTCGAACTACACATCCAACTATTTTCAATTCGCCTGCCATATGGCCTGTCACTCTCCTACCTTCTCTGCCAAGCTTCAGCTTCCACAAACTGCCGCAGCAGCAACCGCACATGCGCGCGGTTGCTGTAGAGTTGCGCGTTGAGCACGGGGTCGCTACATCGCACTTCTAAGCCTTGGAAGCATCCCCCGGTCGCCGCCGGTTGCCCGATGGGGTCGTCGGTTCTTTTTTGTCTCAGTCCCACGGACCTTTTTCATATGTTTTTCCCGAATGCGTAGCGAAGGGTTCCCGTTTATAGTTGGGGGTCTGGGGGTTGGAGCTGTGCTTGCTTGGCTTGCGTCGTCTCGTCGTCTGTCGTCGTTTGTCGTCGTCGTCGCGTCTCAAACTCGCTGCCATTGGGGGAAGTTTTTGCAAGTGACTTTGCATGGATGTGTCACGTGTCAGTTTGCGCCGCTATTCCATTGTGATTTGCATGACAATGATATGTCGCGCAAGAAACGTGATGCATTTCGCTGCACAGGCGCAGCGTTTTGTGAGATCCGCAGATTGCTGCGCAGTTCCATTGGGATTAGCGTTTGGAGAGTCGTGTGGCCGTGCCATTGGGATTTGCGTTTCAGGGTGTGGCATGGAAGCTCGGTTTTCGTGACAAGTCTCAGCTGAAATGGCGATTTTGGTGGATGGGAGTGTGCTCAGAATGGGTCGAAATCATTCCAAACGTGTGGTGTGGTGCAAATTTTGTTGAAGCTCACATGAGATGATATTGGCACTTTTCGTGGCAGGCGCAGGACTTCGTGCGGGTTTTGAGGCGTGGAAGTGCGATTCTCGTGGCAGGCGCCGGGAATCGTGAGGTTGTGAGTTGTGGTAGAGGTGAGTGTCGCTGTCACATTGGGATTGGCGTGTGAGCGGATGTTGTTGGAGGGGCTGGAATCGCGAAACTGCTTGGCAGGGCTGCGGATGTGTGTGCTCCGATGGGTGTTTCCGCTTGACTTTTGGAGGAAGTCTTGTACGAAATGCTCGTTTTGCAGACTTTGACGTGTGAGTTTTTGCAGGCCGTGCCCCATGTAGTTCTAACTGATCCCGTTCGAGTTCGAGTTCAAGTTCGAGTTCGATGCGCGAGATTGCGTGGATCGAGCGAGAGGGGGGTGGACCAGTTCGAGTTCGAGATCGAGTTCGGATCGACACACAATTATCGAGCCGCGGGGGGTGTGGACCGGTTCGAGTTCGGATCGACACACAATTATCGAGCCGGGCGGGGGTGGACCGGTTCGAGTTCGAGTTCGAGTTCGGATCGACACACAATTATCGAGCCGGGGGAGAGTGGACCGGTTCGAGTTCGAGTTCGAGTTCGGATCGACACACAATTATCGAGCCGGGGGGGGT